AAAAAAAAAATCAACTATATTTTTAGGCAAAGAATTGTTAAAGAAGTAACACTGTTTCACCTAAGGCAGTCAATCACGATCGAGAGAATACAAAGGTCGCCCCGATCTCGGACCGCTATTCTTCTCTTAACGAATTTGACAGAATCGTTTTTTGAATGACGTCACACTTGTGCAACTTGTTTACGTTTTCCTTGCAACATTTTTTCCTCTTCTCCCATTCTTGCTCACGTTTTCGCATTTCTCTCTCACAATTGCACCAGCGTGACGTCGCACAAAAGTTATTCTCAAAAATCCTCTCTGATCGGCGCAATCTTGGTCTCATTCTGATCATTCTTGGCAGTCAATATGGCGGAATTAGAGTGAGAAGTTGCAAACCGATCATGTTGCAAACCGATAACACCTTGCATCATGTTACAACACTGGTTTAGAAAAGGGATCAGAAAACAGCTGACTCGGTTTGACATTTTCTTGTTGGTCTTTTGGTTAATTGGGATTGTATTTTTATAATTTATTTAATAGATCGAAGAAAATTATATATCTCTTTAAAACTAACTAAAATGAATGTATCGAACCGGTTATTAATACCTAGTTGGATAAAAAGGTGCAGCTTCAAGAGGATCAGTAAGTTAAAGTACTTATTCTTGCAACAAATATACAAAATCGATCCATCATCTGTTATGCAGTCACATTTTCCACAAAGCCGCAACCAAAGGATTTTCCAGGAACCCATCAAAAATACGGCCAGCAAAATGCATCCGGCAGTGCAGAGGGACGCAAATCCGTGATTCCACCAAATTATAGGTTTATATACCCTGAGTTTCTACCCGACCCAAAAGTGGAATGGCGTAACCCGGTACGTGAGAAACTAGAACGAATGGACATGCTAGACCGTCGCTCGAAAATCGACATCCCCGAGTTTTATGTTGGCTCCATATTAGCGGTGACAAGCTCCGATCCACACGCAGCTGGAAAAGTCAGTCGCTTTGTTGGTGAGTGGGTGAAAGTTATCGTCCATAAACTAATAAACTTATTGTATATCTATTTTTAAGGCATTTGCATACATCGCGATCGCTGCGGCCTCCGTACCCGTTTTATATTGCGTAATGTTATTGATCATCAAGGCGTTGAGGTGCGCTACGAACTATACGACCCGACTATACATAAAATTGAGGTACTGCGTCTAGAAAAGCGTCTGGACGATCATTTGTTATATTTACGAGACGCATTACCTGAATATAGCACTGTTGATTTGAATATGGAAGCAGAATATTTGGATGAGAATACAGAGGTGCCTGTAAATGATATTAAAGTAGTCTTGCGCCCTCGTCCATGGTTAGAACGATGGGAACGACAAAATCTACAAGGCGTTGCTAACGTTGATCAGTATATAACTGACAAACAACGTCGCCAGGCACTGGCACATGAAAAACCTTGGGAAAAATACGATATAATGAAACAATATCGTGCGACAATTCCGGAAGAAGAACAAAAAGAAATATTTGCAGAGGTGCACTCGCAGCTACATCATTTGGAATTGCAACGTAAGCGTAATAAGCGCAAACGTTCATTCGTTAAGCCGACAAAATTAGCGTAGGATTAGCAACTTAATAATTTTTTGAACTTTGTTAAGCCATTGAATGTACTACACAAGTTGTAATTTGTGAAGTGGCAGATATCAATAAAAGTCATCAAACGGAAAGATAGTTTTTTTAAATATTTTCTTATTACTTTGTTGCTTTAGTTATTATTGTATTTAAAAATTACGCTTTGTTACATAAATACATATGTAATCAGTGTGTTCTTATATATATTATAAACATTCTTTTGTTTAATATTTCATGAACATATGTTCTTATAACTTATTATTGCAATCATTTAGTATACACGAAACTTGTAGAAATTAATAAACGAAATGGTCACATTCCAACCAATGATCACAGTAACCAGATAGAATAAAAATATGACAGGTAATGGGATGAGAATCAGACGCGTGTTCTTCAAATGGGGGATACCTGGTGCGAATAAAGAATTGTGTCGTTTAAAGGAGTTGTATACATACATTTACTTTATTTACTTACAGTTATAGCCCAAAAATGTTATATAGACATAATAACCCAATGCCAAAAGCCAAAATGTGTTTCCCAGTAATCGTGCGAAAAACCACGGCTGGCTTATAACCCATTCATAGAAAAACAATTGCACAAAATGCAACAGTATTAATGGAGGAAAGAAAGCATTTAGATGTACATCAAAAGCATAGCCCCATTCGATATCTGGTTCAAGACTACTGCTGCGCAAGTAACGATTCGTCACTAACCAGAAGAATGAAGCAACTATAATGCCCGCAAATATACAATCCACCAAAACTACATATAAAATGAAGGATACACTCTGCAAGAAGTTTAGTCCCATTGTCCATGCGAGCACGACCGAGGTCACTAGAATATTTTTTTATATAAATTGGTTGCATACATATACATATACTCTCTAGCAGAGTCCACAAACTTTGCACTTACCGCATAGGCATACCACCAATAAAACTAGGAAGGCAGGATCATCTCTGGCAAATTGTGATTTGGTCTCTGTGTGTTATTGGCAATATGGTTACCAGATTAGGTCAAAGTAAAAGCTGTTACTTACGCTTCCTGTAATTAAAGTTTCTGTATACTTTTTGTGGGGATATAAACAAGTAAATCATTTGCCATACGGCAAACTCGAAGTCCATCTGATTGAATTTTAATAGTCGCCGTAAATATTTGTAGCTTTTGCTTGTTGCAGATAGACAGTTTCTTGTGTGATTCGCTGGCGGTGGTAAGGGCGATTGTCCGCGGGACGTTGTATATGACGGGGCATAGCTGGAACCGGTCACTGATGGCGTAGGTGAAGTTGAATGCTTCATTTTGTCGAACCTAACTTTGGTTAAACTTATTTTTGTTTAACAAAAAGTTGTTTTCGCTAAGGCTGCACAAAAACTGACACATCACGTCAAATGTCATTGTATAGGGATATTTTATAGGGACATTTTTCTAAAATGACCATAAAATTGTTCAACACTGCTTTCCATACGCTTCCCAATAATAGACAGTCACGAAAAGTCCACTGGCGCCATATTTATTTTCTTCATAGAAAATCGCACGGGAAATTTTTGGGGCAGCCGATAATAGAATGTGAAAAATAGTATCAATTCAATAAATTATTCTGAAATTGTTAGAAATTTTATTTTAAACCCTCGCGGTATATTACGCGTTGGAATTCTGTGCGAATATGTCCGTAAAATGTGAGAAAAGACGTGAACGTTTTATGAAAATGGTGTCTAATTAGTGTTGATTTGTGCGGGTACGGTACGGGTGTGCAGCGGAGTTGTGTGGAGTGCGGCGATCTGCAACACTTTCGGCAATGGACAAAGAAAATTGTTTGGAATTGTGAAAATGTAAAGAAACCATAATATATATTGAAAACATAGGCCTGCAAAATTAATTAAAGCCGCCAGGCGGGCGTTGTTTGCGTATGGCCACAAGCTGCGTTACGATCAATTGTGCTTAAAAATAGAATTGAAGCACATCTGTGGGTATGGGTATGTGTGTGTGTGGATATAAAAAAGGAAAATAAAAAAGAAGACTGAAAGAAAGTGGAAGAATTTTTCACAACGGCTTGCGAGGGAGGACCTGGAAATCATATACGGACCACAAATTATCCAAGAAAACATTAAAAAAAGAAAGTACCAAAATTAGTACAAAAATTTGTCGGAACTCTTAATGGACTGTCTCTAACAGAGGACTCCACCCTATAGTACACCCTTGGCTCCTGCCACTTCATATCATTTTCATCACTTCGCTACTGTACACATACGCAGGCGGCTTCAAGTCGTTCTGTATCGCGTTGCGTTAAGTACGCGTTTTGCCTCGATAAAACGACACTTTCATTATAAATCAACGTAGAAGAAAAGTGAAGTTAAGAATATCGGCAATTGGTTTGCAGTTGCTTTCGGTTGCCTCATTTCTTCGTACACGAATTTTTTCTAGTTTTATTTTATCTTTATATATTTCCGACTGGACTGGTTGGCGGCTAAGTGTCCGCCTAAATATAGCCGTCAATTTGTGGTCGTCATCTGGATTTGCCTTCTGTGACGGCGACAGCCCGAACGCCGGCAAAGTGGATGCCCGGGGCAACCTGGGTGTGCCCCAGGACTACGCAGGCATGGTGGGCTTAGCGGGTGGAGGTGGTCCCGGTGGTGCTGCAGGTCATCTGTATGGACCAGTGCCGCCACAAGACAGTAAGCTAAATTTATTCTTGCATAATTATATTTTTTAATATAAGTAATTTATTTTAGCATTAATAGTGCGCGACATGGTGCAAATGCCACCGCCTCCATCAAATGCACCGACATCAGCAGATGCGTGCTTGAGCATTGTTCATTCACTCATGTGCCATCGACAAGGTGGCGAGAGTGAAGGCTTTGCAAAACGTGCTATTGAATCGCTGGTGAAGAAATTAAAAGAAAAGCGTGATGAATTGGATTCGCTGATAACGGCCATCACCACGAACGGTGCACATCCTAGCAAATGTGTCACTATTCAACGAACATTAGACGGCCGTTTGCAGGTGAGTTTGCTTTGTGTTATTTAAAAAAAAAAAAACTCATTATGAACTTAAAAGAAGCCAATAATTACCGTCGCTAAACTAAAATAAACTTTATTATCTTTCCAACTTCCAAACAGGTTGCTGGTCGTAAGGGCTTTCCACATGTCATATACGCACGCATTTGGCGTTGGCCAGATCTGCACAAAAACGAACTAAAGCACGTTAAATATTGTGCATTCGCTTTCGATCTCAAATGCGATTCAGTTTGCGTCAATCCGTATCATTATGAGCGGGTCGTTTCACCAGGCATCGATTTGTCCGGTTTGAGCCTGCAGTCCGGGCCAAGTCGTTTGGTGAAAGATGAATATTCGGCTGGTCCGTTAGTCGGTGGCATGGATATTGATGGTAATGACATCGGTACTATACAACACCATCCATCACAATTGGTTGGTCCTGGCTATGGATATCCCCAAGGTCCAGGTATGATATTTGACATTTTTAGTCGTATACTCCTTTTGTTTTGAACTCCATTTCGTTTATTATTTATGTTTTCATAATTGTATACATACATAGGTATTTTTAGTTACTTATTTTTGTTTGTATATTTTTTAATTATTACTTTTTAGTTGCCGATTCAAATCATGCAATGAATGCTATGTTCGTTGCGGGTCGCACAATACCAAAAATTGAACCAGGCGATGGTAGCGGTATGCCCCGAGGTGCCTGGATGGCGCCACCACCACCACGGTTGGGTCAACCCCAGCAACTGTCGCAAACACAACCACAACCATCGCAACAGCAAACCCAGCAAGCACAACAATCGCAGCAACAGCGTGTGACTCAAGTTTCCCAACATCCGCTTTGTAAGCGCTTCCTTTATTATATTTTAAGTTTTTCGATTTAATTGCTTTCGTAAATTTAATTTGCATTCTTGATGATTAAGTATCTGGTCAACACAACATAACGCAGAAAGATTAAAAAGCTTTTACTTTTGTACTATTTTTCAAAGCAATAAGAAAATAATTTCGTACTCTTTATATATACATACTTATATGTATACAGTTGTCCACAAAATAATAGGGAGTTCGGTACTGTGGCCGGATTTCACTATTTGCCTTTTGTTTATTTAATGTTTATTTTTTTTTAAGTCTACCTGTTTATACAACAAACCATATTACCATTTCAAACTTTGTAAAAAAATATAAAAATTCTGCAGGATTTCATTAAAATATAAAAATTTTTAATCAGAATCTTCAGAAGCTGTTAAAAATCCCCTTGAGTTGTGAGAATTTTTTTGGTTTAAACGTGTTTCTAATTTTTTTCTATGCCAAGAAAGAAATGCCAAAAAATAAACGGAATTTATTAGCGGCTTGAAACTTGCACTCCATTATACTACAATTTAGTTGGCACCAAACTGCATACCAAAATTTTGTCTAAAGATTCTGATTAAAATGTTTGAAATTTTGCTGAATTTGCATAATTTTAATAATTTATGTAATGTACAAACGTTAATTTATATGATGTTTGTTGTATAACCAGCAAGGTGGTCTATGGGTCATTCCATTGAAAAGAGGAAAACTTAAATATACCCTCATTATCTCTATTTCAGTAGTAACTAACCTCTTTTAAATTACAACATTTTATTAAGCTGTGAGTAAATATTAAAAAAATCAAAAGTTGAAATTTTTGTCTATGGAATCTTTATAATGCATAACTACTTTACACCAGTCACAAGGAGATGTCCCACCAGTCACAACTTTAAATATTTTTTAATATTTCTATGAAGTTCATATAAACCTCATTTTTAATGAAAACAAAAGCGTATAATTCACATTTTACAACACAAATACATCGTTCGAGAAAATTAAGTGTTTTGGCTAAAATTCATCTTTGAGTGCACAAGGGTAAAATAGAGTTCCTTTCAGTGTCCCACCAGTCGCATTCATTCAAATGATTGTTACATAAAACTAAGAAATCGTTTGATATTTTTGTTAAAGCAATGTTATACATTAGTTATCGTTCTATGTTAAAAAATATCTTTCGCTGTAAGTTCAGACGTCACGCTTAAATTTCACAATTGATCACATTCTGGAGTAAAATGCCCAACTAGTCACAATGGAATGGCCACGTTCAAAAATACCAGATACAGATTCGAAT